ACTGTAAACATTGGAAAATGACTTCACTGCTTTGGAAGTAAGCAGACGCACGTGGGATTGTATGTATGTATATTGAACTTCTTTCGCACCGTACGTAGCTAACCAGTGCTGTTCAGAAGATTAAGAATACATTACTGTGTGTGGAAAGGTCGAACTTATCAAAATGTATAGAAATTGACAGCTACACCATCATTGGCGGTTAATTTGGTCACGGTGGATAGATATGTGACGGCCGGATAGGAGACGTTGAACCGTGTTTACCGATCACTCCTGAGTTCAGCAGCCAGCCTTTATTTAATGACTCAATCGTCGTGTTTGGTGGGCGTGTACAGGCTCTTCTAACAACATCCACACCCAGGGCGACATATTTCACTCAAAGTGGCGTGCAAGGCAAGCCCCCCGCCACGAATAAATTACGAACGTTGCCGCACGCAAGTGTTTGGTGGTGCTTGGCAATTGCACGCACAGAAAAATCGGTCAACACGATTAGCTTTTTTTTGTTGCCAAAGTCGAGTAACAGCTGATCTATCGAACAGTCATCCTCCCAGATATCAACGTATCCCAGTCGCGGTTGTGTATTAAATTAGACAAACCCTATATAGAAATAGGTTTTACCCTTTTAACTGGCACAAAAAACTGACACCTTTATTCGAGGCATCATGTTGGCAATGACCACAACACAAGCAGTCAAAATGCAAACAAAAAGAGACAACTCTGACAATAATATTGGCACTGTCCTTGAATTTGATTGGTCCACACCCGAGACGGGCTTTTCTTAGATCCTAGTCTCCACTGGTGTTGGACCAGAAGACGCCAGTGGAGACTAGGCTCTAAGAAAAGCCGTCTCGGGTGTGGACCAATCAAATTCAAGGACAGTGCCAATATTATTATCAGAGTTGTCTCTTTTTGTTTGCATTTTGACTGCTTGTGTTGTGGTTATTGCAAACATGATGCCTTGAATAAAGGTGTCAGTTTTTGTGCCAGTTAAAAGGGTAAAACCTCTTTCCATATCTTGTTACTGGCAAAGGAGGTCTCATAATAGACAAACTCTCGCTGCTCTGGCTTTTGACTTCGCCGACATGTTTTATTGGACCTCACACTCGGGGCAGTGTTTTTTTTGTTGTCTCCAAATTTAAACGTAGAAAGTACGGCAAAAATGGGTCGTTGGTAAAAAAGTCCACGAGGGTGTGGCAGGCTTTCCCCATGGTTTCCACGGCCACTTTGGTCCCCAGGACTGGCCCAGAACCGGCCCAGGTACAGCTCCAATGCATGGGTTCATGTCCCCATGTTTCACGAACCCCTTGGGCTTTGTAGGCTCTGCCCCCCCCCCCCTCCCCTTAATCCTCCCCAATCTCCATAGTCGTAAAGTCCACAGCCATAGAAGTCACGGATTGACCCCATTAAAAAAAATACTTTTTACATAGTTTAATATTGTGGTAGGGGTTAGAGTAAGTTGAACTTGTTTATGTCTTTTTACAATCTTCCACGGTGTTTTTTTTTAACACAAATACGGATGGGGACGTTGAACCGAGCGAGTGACGCTGGCCTGCACGTGTCGCTCGCATGTTGACCTCGTGACCTCTCAAATGGTTCCGGAGTCGCCGTCGTTCTTAAGCGTGTCCGGCTTGGGTCGATAATCCATCCTGGGGGCCCAGGTCTGGGATCTTGTTTTTCCTGGGCCAGACCGGGTAACATGGAAAGTAACTTTGACGCCAGTGCCACGCCAGCTTCGTTGCAGCTAGCCAGGGGCGATGAGGCTTAAGAACGTCACCGGTAGGCCGGGTTGAGTGGACCCCGGCCTGGTACCCGCGGGGCGGTCATTGCGCGCGGGGAGTTAATGACCGTGAGAGCAGTGGAGAGCGCTCGCAGTGGGTCGGCGGGTGGCTGCCAATGAGATGACAGATAAAGCAGGCGCAGTCATCTCCCTGGTGTGAGAAGGGGCACGGGGGAAGCGGGACCGTAGCAGATGGTGCGAGTGGACTGCGTGTGGAGCGGCGGTGGTGCGGCGGTTAGCGCGCTGCATTACAAAGCCAGCGACCCGAGTTCAATTCCCGTTCACGGCCAACACCAGTGACGATTATCTTAACCTGTCCTGGGCTTCCTCCTGCTAGGTCGACTCGGCCTCTAATGAGTACCTGGTGTGGGTGTGCAAACATCACCACTGGGCAGACAAAGGCGGTCGGGCGTGGTGCTGGCCACCAACCCCCTCGTGTGCTGTGCTGGCCTTCATAGGCGCTCGCTTAACAGCACTTGCCCCAACAGTCTTTTAGAGCTATACGGGGGATCTTTGTCTTTGGAGCTAGCACGAGGTGCAAAGTGGGTAAAGACACGAGTCTCAAAAGGCCGGGTGGGGAGAAGAGGAGGAGGGGGGGGGTTCAGGGAGAACAAATAAATAAATGTGCGGTGAGAGAGAGATAGAGATGAAAGACAAATCGATACCCGAATTGAAATATTGTCCTTGAGTGTAAATACTACAAAGAGGGGATAAAGACTGCCGCGTGAAAGGAATATCGAATTGTGCATTTTTACGGTTGACGTCGTCTTTCCAGAGGCGAAATTTCAACAGAGAAGCGGGCGAAAGGTGCAGAGCCCGGGATTGCTGCGTGTTGCCGCGTCGATGTCGTTTTGGGCGGATCGCGTTATTTCGTCTCGCTTGAAGCTGCCGCGACCTTCATTTTACCCCGTCGTCTCCTCCCGTGAAACGGCTGTGGAGCGAGCGACACGTGCCATCGCGAGATCGTTTTAAATCTCTGACCCGCTGTGACGATCGCGAAAGCGTATCATTTCGTGTGGTCCGAGCGCCCGGTTTTAAAAGTTAAATCGGTGGGAAAAGTGTGTGACGGGGCAGCGATATTTTAAGCCGAGCGATGAAGATGCGAGTGCCAGTCGGAACATCGGCACGCGTTCAAGTTGCCCAGGATTTTTTGTTTGACACACATATAAAGGGTATTTCCCCGCGCTCGCTCGCTTTTGGGAACCTTTCTGCCCGTGCAGCTGAACTAAAACTGCTTGCTGGGCAAAACCTCACGTGGAGTCTGTGCCATTTACAGGGAGAGAGTGGCGAGTTGTAAACTACCTCGTCTAGTATACAGGAGGACGTGGGTTCAAGCCCGACCCTTGACGCCTGTATATTTAGAGTTTGCATGTTCTCCCCTTGGTCGTGGGGATTTTTCTTCGGGTCCTCACGTTTTTCCCTCCACATTTAGAAAGATGCACTTAACAGTATTTGTTGCTGCTAGAAATGTCCACGTGGTAAGCCCACGTGAGCTATCACTTGTGGCCAGGTCGCTTCTGAGAAGGAGCTATTTCGCTCAATTGTCCTTCCCTGGTCAGATAAAAATAGCATGGCTCGTGGATTTTCTTCACGAGTTGTGCTCATTTTTTTTTATATTCGTGGACGATTGAGTCAATTCGGACAATACGGGAAAGCGCAGGAGAGCCAACGACTTTTTGGCGAGAGGGCGTTGTGAAATCTCTGAACATGGAACAATAAAGTGGGCTGCAGTGTAACGTCCGGGAGGATGGCGCATACCTATGTTATTTATTTGTACTGTTCTGGAAAATAAATCAGGGGTGTGTGTGTGTGTTGGTTGTGGGGGCGTGTTTCAGGGTAGGGCATTGGAACAGGAGAGGATCAGACTTTAGCGCCTCCTTGCCAGACGCAGCCACCGCACAAGCTTTGTGTACACGCGATAAGTCAAACTTTAAAACCGGTTTCGGGGGGGAAAAAATGCACGAATGAAAAAATTCCTGTTCCTAGGTGTGTGGGATTGAGTCACACGGAGCAAATGAATGAGCTCCCTTGATGATGCTGGAAGTAGCCCTCCACAATGTTCCGGTGCCACCAATTGACTGGATTTTTGAGCAAGGCAGACAGGATATCATCGCACGACGTGCTGTCTCTGTGTGGAGTGCTGGCTCAAAAAAAATAGAAGTGAAGAAACTTTATTCATAATCACATTCGTAAGGCCGATACGTTTGAGCTCTTTTGTAGATATTCACAGGTTGGTGTACTTTTTTTTTTCCCTTGACAGCTTTAAAGCCCTGAGATGGGCATAACTTAGTCACCACACCGTGAGAAGTAAGGTGGCATGTGTCCTTTGGAGTGACCAGACCCTGCCCATAGAATGTGGAAGTTTCACCTCTGGACCGGGGGCCATAAATCTAAATAAGAATCGCCCTACACCCGTTTAAGCAACGTGAACAGCTCTGACTGCTCACTTTGATTTACGCATTTATTGTTTTTGAACTTTGCGGCCAGGAATTGATTTTTATTTCGAAGCCGGCTGCCGTTGGGCGACGCTCACGCCGGGCTGCTGAGCGAGCGCGCGGTCGTCGGCGGTGACGCGAGGTTGCTCTCGCGTCGTGCGTGACTCTTTGCGCAACGGCATTGAACGCGCAAAGGCGTTTGCGCGTCGGCTGAGGTCCTTTTTGTTTTGCTGCGCGAGCTCCCTCTGATCTCCACCGACCTCGCCGAGTCGCGCCCAGCGAGCATTAAGAACCGGTTTTACCCAAATGTCGCCTTCACTCAATGGCTAGCGTGTGTGTTCGCCTGTGTGTGTGTGTGCACGCTAACAGCGCTTGCCCCAAAACCGTCTGTTAAGGCTACGTTGGGGGTGATCTTTGCCTTTGTGCGCGCGGCGACCTGATTTCGATTCCCCACTCTCGGCCAACACCAGTGACGTTTATCTGAACCGGTCCTGGGCCTCCCCTAGGTCGACGCGGCCTCAAATTAGTACCTGGTGCGGTGTGTGGTGAACATCGTCACTGGGAAAACGGAGGCGGCCGGGCGTGGTGTTGCCCATCCACGCTCTTGTGTCCTGCCCAGGCCCCTCATAGGTGAACGCTAACGGTGCTTGCCCCAACAGGCTATTGCAGGCTGTACGGTGGGATCTTTGTCTTTATGTGCACGTGTGGATGTGCGAGTGCATGGTAGTGGGTGAGTGGGACAGGCGTCACGCGCCGTTAAAATGTCGCCCTGATCCTTCGTGTGCGCGCAGGGATGGGATTCCTCCGTACCGCTTCAAGAAGCAGCAGCGGAGGGAGATGCACCGGAGCATCCGGGCGAATGGACGGGTGGCCCTACCACACTTCCCTGTGAGTAGCCCAATGCCAGACCTGCACCGCCACTCCTCAACGTCCTATGGACCTGTTTAACGCGTGACAAGATAAATAAGCAGACACATCCATAGCTCCACATAACAAATACAAGTATTGCTTACACAACCCATTAGCCGCACGGCCGTTTGAGAAGAGCATAATGTTAGCAGCGATGATTTAAAGACAAGAAAACTCTGGACTGGTTTTGACATGCGAAGTCCGTCGGGCTTGCTTGGATCAATGCTTGCTTGTCAACTGCCAGTGGTACAGCTGCGGACGGGGACCCTATCTTCACGCTATGGGCTCCTAGTTCAATGCAAAATGATGTAGCCGTAATACATCACCAAAAATAATCATTCGTGTCATGATGGAAAATAAAAATAACCAAACGAATATAAATCACCGGATTTACAACACTAACGATTGTTTTGAGTAGTTTATTTTGTAGCTATTTCTGGTCCTATTGTCTCATTGTTTGCGCTGCATTTGCGTTGAAGGAGGTGTGCTCTGTTTATTGCAGGTGTTTGTAATGGTTGCAAAAAAATGTCACAATTGATCTGGGTCTTCTACGGTAAGCCCGTGCTATATGAATGTGGAATTGACACTGCTAAAATTGAGCATCGCACTGCGACCTTGGCTTTTGAGTTCTTTTGCAAATGACGAAACTTTCTTGACTGCTGATGACATTAAATCAAAGTGTCAAAGAATAACATAACCACCATAAATAATGGTGTAGACCAATAAGTTTCAAATACAATGCCATATATTATCAGAGCATGTTTGTTTGCATGTTCACAACAAGTACTGTGTGTGGTTAATGCGGACTTGATTCCTTGCAAAAGGTTTATATTTGGTGTTTGAACATCTTAACACCTCCTGTTGTATTTCCAGAAAGGGTAAAACCTTTTCTTAATTTTTCATACTTTGATACTGGCAAAAAAGGTCCCATTTTGTAGCTGCACACCCCGAGCTATGAATGCTCTGATAGTGGCATTGTCTTTGTACTGTTCCCCTTGTTGGCGTTCTGTCGACTGACACTGGTGAGACTAGGCCCTAAAGAAGGCTGTCTCTGGTGTAGGCCAATCAGTTTCAAAGACAATGGCCATAGATATGATCAGTGCGTGTTTGTTTGCATGTTCACCGCAAGTACTGCGTGTGGTTAATGCAGTAACTTGATTCCTTGCAAAACCTTCTATTTGGTGTTTCAACATCTTAACGCAACTGTTTCATTGCTAGCAAGCGTAAACACCTATCCTTATTTTGTCATGCTCATGGCATTGTTTGCGTCGGAAAAGTTAACGGGCGGCAAATCATGAAAACCCAGCAAGCATGTGGTGGCGTTGGAGAAAGAATGTTGAGTCGGATAAGCTCGACGCGGCCAACATCTAGCTGAGCATGACCTTGAGCGACGCTTGGTAGGGAATTGTGCATTTTCTGACTGCCGCGGGTGCCCTTTGTGGGCTGTAATGGGCGAGTGTGCGTTTGTTCCTGGCATCACTAAATGCGGTTACAGAAGCGCTGACAAGGAGCGTGTGCAAACGACACGCGGGCAAGACGTTGGGCATTGAATGTATGTATGTTGAACTTCCTCCACGCCGCACGTAGCCAACGGTGATAATCCAATTGAAGGCAAGGGACTAGGCCCCGGAGTTTTCTGCGCTGCCCTCCATTGCCCACAACGTAGCACCGCAGCGGGCCTACAAAGCACCCGTTTTTGTGCGTGGCGGTCGCTCGTCTCCGCCCTGTCCAGGCTCGAAGTTCTGCTTAGCTGAAGCGGAGATCTGTTGGGATCGAGCGCGCTCCAGGTGTTTTTGGGGCCACGGTCGTCGTGTGTTCATCGAAGAATGATAATTGCCTGGCGATGGCGGTTGTTTTAGTGCGGTGAGCGTAGTGGGCTGCAGCTTGGTCTTGGTGTGCGTATTTACGCAAAATTTGTTGTTTCCAAAACTTGTAAAACACTCGGTGAAAAGGAACTGGCTGAGGTGCACATTGTGACGCTCCCCTGAAAAAGTCACGCTTCCTAGGTGGATTCCACGGATGAAGGACGCGTCAGTATTATGATCTGAAGGAGGATTTTAGAAAGAGCAACGTGTTACTTTTGAATAACGGTGACTTCAAAGTGTATGAGAGAGTAAGTGATGTCACTCATCAACAGTTCGTCTTTTATTTTGGCAGCTTAAAAGTCAAGTGTCTTTTGCGTTGGGTCCACGGGTAAAAGTCAAATTTCATAAGGACTACTAAAGTCTCGGCTTGTGACTATCAATAGATTGGTTAGAATCAATTTGTGCTGTCAATGCTTTGAATTACCTTTGCGGTATGTGATGTTTGTAATGGGTTCACGTGAACCCCTGCAGACACCAGAGGAGCCACGTTCACCAGAATGCTAAAGTGAAAATAAAATCCATTCCTGAATTGAATCGTGACCTTGAATTGTGACACTTGCGTCAAGTTCGCGGTGTTCGTGAATTGTTTCACGCGTTGTCAAGATGGACGCATTTTCCCAATTAATAGACACATACATCTTGAGATGTTACGCCTGTGACAGTGGTACACACAAGTGACACTCTTGCCAATAGATTCAACAGGGTCACTTTAATTCCCCACGAAACAGAAATACCTTCAGCGCCAGTTGGGAATTGAAACCGTGGCAGTAGGTTCAGTGTTGAGCGCGTCAATCTCTGGGTTCCTCGCCTACCTGGCTTGACAATGTATGCACACTTGAGACGGCCATCTGTCCCAACACACCTTCACTTGCCGTCTAGTTTCATGTTGCTTCGTTTGTGTGCGCAACAGCAGTGCACGCGACGGCAGTGTCCTCCAATAATCCACACGGGCTTAATGGTTGAAGATTAAAACGGCCTTGATTGTACTAATTGCACATATTAGTCATCTATTTTTTTGTTTCCTTTGATATTGTTTCGGTTAATAATAATATTAGTGTATAAATAAACAAATGAGCCGTTTACCCCCCCCCCCATCCCCCCCCCCCCTTCATAATCCCTACAACTAACGGTGTCTGCGTGAACGGGCGTAAAACGCCCGGGCCCCATTTCCATTCTCGATTGAACAAAAGCGGCTGCGTGGCCGGCATTCAAGGTGCATGAGTCGGACTGGTACTCGAGGAAAATCCTCCAGCGAGATGCTCGCACAACACAACTCCCCCCACCGCCTTCACGTGGGCCCAGCCGCCCTTGTGCCTCTTGCGACAGCGGTCCGGTGCGGTTATCGAGGTTCCGTGGTAGCGCGTGGGGAGTCTCGCCACAGCTTTGTTGCGCTCTCCGCCGCTGCATTTTCAGGGACTCTTAATTTTTTGCGCGCCCCCAACTCCGGCTTGATGTCTTTGTTGAGATTTACCGCTCTCTGACCAGGCCGCCGGCATGAAATGCTGGGTGGGTGGGTGGGGGGAGGGGGATAGACTAAATGTTACCGACCATCTGAAGTTTAGTGTCAACTCGTATCTGAAAAAAAAATCTCACCATGTCTTAAAAGTTGTGAGAAAGAACAGTTTTTTAAATGCTTCATAGCTGTTAAAACTCGATGCGTGGTGGCAGCTGGTTCGGGGGTGGGGGGGGGGAGGGGTGCGTGGGTCTGGGGGAGAAGTCAGGCTTGTGGTGGGCGGTTAAAAGACCTCCCCTCGTTTTTTTTGGGAAATAGCCCCGTCTTCGGGAGGTCGGTGCAGGATGAAGGGAAGGGATTGGGAAGTGAATTTGGGAGAAAATGAATGGAGCAGCTCGGCCACAGTCTGCGCTGAGCTGATAGGCGTGCGCGCGCCCAAGGTGTCTTGAAGCTCTCGGGGCAGATAGCCCCGGCGCGCCATCCCTCCAACTTAAACGGTGGCAATCCTTCCCGTGGACTCAGGCCCCCCCCCCCCCCCATACCGTGGTGGGCCCAGACGGGGGCCTAATTTCCTCTCCGTTGACCACCCTTCATCAGTTCTGTAAGTAACGTTTTTTTTACAGATGAGCCCGATTCAGTTTATGTTTGGTGTGTTTTTACATAATAGTATATTCTTCTCAGGAGAAGCGTAATTGGTCCGCTGACATGGTTTGTTGAAGTTCTCCAGCTGATGGGGTGGAGGGGGGGGGGCGGCGCTCACTGGCTTTTTGGCTTTATGTTACAGCGCACGCTTCGCGCATTGGGTTTGTAGCCGTAGCAATTTACGTTTAGAGAAGCCCAAGAGGAGGGAAGCGATGGCCAGAAGTTTAGAAAAAATATATTCTGAAGGACATTTTTTGACGTTTCATTCCATCTTTGAAAAGACCAAGAAAAAAACCCAATCATTACTGCTTTCAGTTTGCTGGCCGCTTATGAAGTTGTGTGGCACACTCTTCCAATTTTTTTTTTATTCTGTTCCGAGGATTTTATTTCACAGATGTCTTGCTCGTCTGAGTACTGGAATGGCCACTGGCTCTTTCTCATGCCCCTTTTATTCCTTTAATGTTGGGTGCGAATGAGACAAGCGGCAAGTCTCGCTGTTTGCACACTTACTGGCCACAACTTGATTTCCTCGCCTTAACCTGCTAAGAGCTGCACTCACAATCACGCCCCGTAGTCTGGCCCAGTTTTTCAATTTTTCGTCTCAATCGCAAGTATTCGATTCTTCATTTATTACGATGTGGCATATTTTGATTTATTATATATATTTTTTTGTATTAGCTCCCGAGCCTCGGAAGCAACTGCGGACTGAAACGGTAAACGCGCATGTGGTTTATGGGGAATAAAGCTCGCCCCATTGTAAAGCAGACCGTCACAAGTGCAGCAACACCTCCCCCACCCAGCCCGCCACTTGCCTTGCGAGCACTGCTAGGGTTAATGTTATCGTAATTAATGGGGGAAGTTTAATTTCAAGGCGGAGGGTGAACAGGCGGGAGAGAGTGTGGAAAAGGGGGAAAAGGAACGCTTCTCATCTTGCGCGATGTACCCTAACCAGTCGGCGGTCCCAACAGCCTTGGAAATAGAAGAAAATTAATATAGTTTGAAGTCTCTCTTAGAACCAT